AACTTGTAAGAAAGAGGTAAGGAATTAAGAAAAACAATTATATGAGCGAATCAGCAGAATTTGACTTTAGTTAGGAGCATCAAAATTTAATTTAAACCCTGTATTTTTACAGACTATTCCTTCTAATATTATGATTCTAATTAAGATGACTACTCGAATTAAATTATCCTATTCTTTCTAAACAACTGTTCCCTTCAATTATTCCTCTTTTACCAATAGGACTATTTAGTTCTATTCATCTGATTAGTCAAAGTAAACAAATCAGTTAAATTAGTGGAATCAGACTAGGTCACCTTAATTCGTATTATCTGAAGTCATCTAATAATTAATTTATGGGAAGGACCTAACCTGGTCATATTACGAGTTTTACAATATTCTGTATTAATACTAAATAAACAATATTTTACTAATCTAATAATCAGTCTATCTGATCCAACTCTAAATAGTTTTATTCAGTCTTAAACTGTAGTTTGATCTAGTCTTTTTAAAAGACTACCAGTTTTTATACCAGACTGAATCGGATGGATCAATTAATAGCCCTAGCTCTAATAGCATAGAATAAAAATTTACAGGACTAATATTTTGGTTCTACAAAGTTATGAAGCTATTATAATTTTTTTCATATTTAAATATAAAAAAAGAACTTTGTAACTTTATATAGCAATAATATTTCGACCTATTTATTTAAGCTTTTTCAAGCATACAAGGTTTTGAAATCTGTACTTTCATGTACTTCTGTCTTGGCTGTACATCTATTTTTACTAAGAATTTGAAGATACATATTATATTATAATTTTACATAATATACGTACCCATTAGAATTATACTCAATGATTGGAAACAGATAATTACAATATACATACCAGCAGGATTATTAATATAGTACCTTCTTTTCTCAAGTTATAAAAGCAGAAATAATACTAATAAATTTAATATATTATTCACATGACAATATTGTTCAAAGTGAAGTAGCCAATAGATCCTTTTTTCTTAGTGGTTATGTAAACATAATTACATAATTCAGTGATAACAATAAGATAAAAATTTTTACTTAACTGTAATAGCTGTAGTATTCATGTACAGAATCAGAATGCTTTTTTAAAGATAACAATATACAAGCTCTTTAAAGATAATAATATACAAAATTGATATCAAATGATATGTCCTAGTAGGCTCAGATATCAATTTATATACTCAAGTCAAGCTCTAACCAATAGGAAGCAGATAGGTTTTAGCTAGGACAGATAGGTTTAACGCATGTTTTTGCATAATTATTATATCCTTTAAAATTATTTAAGATATAGTTTGGTTATATCCTTTAAAATTATTTAAGGTATAGTTTGGAAATATTAGAGTAAAATATAAGAGTCAATTTTTGTTCATATGTACTTATTTATTATTAAATTTAGTAAGCTATTACACGTCTGTAAGGATGTGTAAGACACAATTACTTATATTTTATAATAATTACAACCTATTATAGCATTTATAATGATTATGACAATTATAATAATAACTATTACAGCATATTTACAACTTTGAGTATTGGGTTGCAACCCAGGTTGTAATTCGTAATATCTGTAATTATTACTTATAGTCAGTAAACTTAAACTAGACAGTTTTTTTTAAAGAGATTTTATTAAGCAAAAAAAAATATACACTAAAAAGAAAAAATAAAATACAATAAAAAAAAATATAATAAAAAAAAGATTATTCTAAAATATGATTTAGTCCCATTGCTTCATTATAAGAAGGAGAAGGAACAGACTCTTGTGAAGAAGCTAGTGTTTCTGAAGCCAAAGTTAGTAAAGCAGAAATTTGTAAAGATAGCTGAGATGTTGAAATTGCTAGAGGTGGTAGAGGAGCTGAAGGTAGTAGAGGAGGTAGAGGTAATTGCTAATTCAAATGTCTATGTGACATATTTAATCTGTACTCATGGTCATTTAAATTATTTAAAAAAAAAAAAAAAAAATCGTACAACTATTTAATAATTTAAGTTAAAAAAAAAAAAATTTAAAATGAATATAAAACTTACTTGGCCACAACAAAAAGAATGTTCTAAATTCATCAAAATACAACCTTCCATAAAAGGTGCTTTTACCATCTTCATTGTTGGGATATTTTACTATTAACTAGTAAATAAAAAAATAGAATAATATTAGTAGATGAATTGATATATATAATTAACCAAAATAAGTTATGTGCATTGAATTCTCAAACCAAATGTTGAAACCTATTATTGTATTGGTTTTCTGTAAATGTTGTATTAAATTATCTATTTATCTGTTATGTGACATCATTCCAAAAAGGTATCTTTCTTCTAAGAGAATGAAATTCTATATTTCTCTCTTTTTATTGTTTAACCAAAATCGAACCTATATGATATTCTATATTGCAAAAAAAAAAAGATAGTAAATATAACTTATAAAATTAATTTTCTTTTATAGGATTAAAGACATAAGTATAAAAGATATAAGAACTTTTCATAAGTACAAATATACATATCTGATATATAAAACGTAAATTGAAATATAGTATTACAATTTAGAAATTTGATTACAATATTATATTATTATATGTACTGTATTTCAATTTATGATTAATGTGATTTATATATCTAATATATATATTTGTACTTACAATATATCTATTATACTTTAATGTTACAATTATATAAAAATGAGTACTCTAGTCAAGCATAGTAGGCTTTCATTATAATTAACTATTTTTATAGATCATCTCATGATATTACAAAAATATCATTTTAATCGAAATGATTCACAAGACAAATATGAGGCATGAAGTGCTAAATAACTATGATATTTGCAGAATGTGATTTGATTAGTCAATTTTAAGCACCAAAGGTATGCAAAATACGAACAAGCAAATAACATGCGCAAATACAGGTAAGATACAATTCACATTTTTACTAAAAATATGAATTGGTATTTGTACATTAGTGTTTGTACCTTAAGTTTGTTTCTGATCAAAAAAATACTACCTGGTTTACTTAACGGATGAACTAGCAGATTACTCAGGTAATCGATGGATATACCTGGTATAAAAGTTTATATTATATTGATATTTTGATTTTTTTTATCTATACTAGCTGATGTAATAATATCTGAGACTGTAATATTAACCAATATATTTTAGCAAAAAAAAGTTATTGCAACAGATTAATTTTATATCTAAAGTAACTATAGCTGTAATTAATTGATGACAGTAGTAACTATTTTTTCTTGAT